ACTAATTTTAAAATAGAATAAAACAAGCCATGCATGGCACAGTCCCCGTTAGTTATCAAACTTAAGATATATAGTTGTTGTTTATAGTGATATAGTTGGAACATAAAGATGTCAGAGATATGGATCCAGAGGCTGATGCTTGATTATGATTTTTTAACATTGAAATGATTGACATTCAGTCATTTTGTATCTGATCGTCAAATGAGTACTTGTCCATATTGGGAGATATTGCTCTGGAACAGCATTAATTAAAACAAAATGGCCACTGGTCAACCATTTTGAATACATCTTTATATTTATAACATGATGTATGGTGAATATATAAAACTTGAACATAATCTGTTAAATCATGTCAGAAATACTGCTCTAGAACAGCATTTATTAAAACAAAATGGCCGCCAGTCAGTCATTGTGAATCAGATTTGAAAAATAAAATGATTATATAATAATTATTGTTTTACGGTACTGCAATTTGGCTAAAAATCTACCTTGTCTTGTTTGACATGTTCTTCTTCCAATCTTGGTTTCTTAAATGTTTCATTTCTTGTTTCTTCAAGTGGTCTTTTCACTATCAAGACAAATGAAATATACTGGTTGTTATACAGTGAATCAAGAACCAGAAATATATAATACGTTTCTTTAAACTAACAATACCAGTAAAGCAACTGGAAAACGGTGTTTGGCTTAGAAAATTGTCATCAAATAAAAAAAAATAGATGATAAAGAGTATAGGATTACCTTGTGTTGGTCTTGAGGCACTTTCTATGGGGGCGCTTTTATCAATACTAGCACTGGTATCTGTGAGGAGGAAATAGAATTATTATTTTAAAATTGTGTCACAGTGATAGTGGGTAACAAAAAAAAAATTCTCTTATAATATATGATGCGTCACAAAGATTTGTTGAGACACAACAAACTATGCAAAATAGCTGACACATCAGAAAATAATACACTGATAGCGTGATAATGGTAAAATGGAATTCATATTTAAAAAACAAAATAAGTGTAAAAATAAAGAAATTCAGAGACACAACAGTTTCGTTTGTGCCTTTAGAAGCTCCTACAGCCATATACATGTACAATATTTTTCTTGAAGACCTCTCTTTCCCTAGCAGTCACTGAATAGACCAAAATTTTGGGGATTTCATTTTTATTCCTGAAAGACAGCACATTGGTGACACCAAACATAGCTTTGGATGACACTCTACATTATAGTCAGTGTTCTCCCCAGGCCAAAACAGCGTCGCGGGCCCCGACGCGATCGGATTTGCCCGCGACACTATGTGTTTCCTCCGCGAATGCTATTATTTATCTCCGTGATCTGATTTCTTCAGTCTCTCACAGACTGT